AGAATTTAACTAGGGCTGCACGATAAATCGCATGCGATATTTAATGCGCATCTTGTCAGTAAAGCCGTTCTGTAATCAGCGGTAAATCTCCATCACGTGATCATGAAAGCCCGCAGGTGATGGAGATTTACCGCTGATTACAGAACGGCTTTACTGACAAGATGCGCATTAAATATCGCATGCGATTTATCGTGCAGCCCTAGTTAAATTCTATTTAAATTAGTAAACTCAACTCCAATCAAAGCTTTTTTAAAACCAAAAATGATCAAACAGTTAATATGGATGCAAACCAGCAGGTCAATGCTCCAGGGGGTGAACACTTGTTTAGCCTTTGCAAGTGCAAATGTCTTTCTGAGGTGGCAATATTTTAATTATTTAGCATATCATGCCAGAGTTAACAGGTTTGCATGTTCATGACATCAAAGCTGAAAGATTGGAATTAACAAAATCATTGTCTACAATGATGTAATTACATCTTCAAGTGGCTATATTTTTGAAAGAGTACACATTTTAATGTTTATTGCCTGCCCGGTATACTTACATTGGCTTACTGTAAACATTTTTTTTTAAACATGGGGACAAATGCTACCGATAGAGCTGATCTTGTATTGAACCAGGAACACGCCTTTAAAGTTTTTGCTGATTAAGTATTGAAAAGTCTGACTGTCTGATCAGTTAAAAGCCATCATACCCATGTATAATAATTTAATAGTTAAGTCTTTGTCATATTTTCAGTAACTGAAGGGTCTGTGTTTCAATCTTAGCTTTTATCACTTCACAGTTTCTCAACAAATGTTACGAAAATGGTTTATACTTAAAGGTTTAAAGCATTGATGTGTTGAGGAGACACCTGAAGTAAGGACTGATGGCAGCGAGGACATTTCTGTGACAAGAGAATGTTTTGCCATGGTCCACTTCCACGACAATGTCAGTCAGCTGAGCTTCGTCGTACAAGGCTTTAAGCTGCTGGAGGATGTTACAGGCATGAAGGGCATCTACCCCGTTGTAGCTTGTGCTTGCTGGAGTCCCATTCTGTACTTGTAACAGCTTTCCTACGTCTACAAGACAAAAGAGTAGGGCTGCACGATAAATCGCATGCGATATTTAACGCGCAACTTATCAGTAAAGCCGGTTCTGTAATCAGCGGTAAATCTCCATCACCTGCGGGCTTTCACATTGAGCAGCATTAACTACACAGAGCCGGTTTTCACTGACGAGGTGCGCAAAACCACGTTCATATTCGCGCGATTTTGTGCGCAGCTCGTCAGTGAACAACTGCTCTGTGTAGTTAATGCTGCTCAATGTGAAAGCCCGCAGGTGATGGAGATTTACCGCTGATTACAGAACCGGCTTTCTGACAAGATGCGCATTAAATATCGCATGCGATTTATCGTGCAGCCCTACAAAAGAGTTAGACAGCTGAGATGATTCCAGGTTTTACAGTGACAATAAACATTATAAATTACAAGTATGACTCTCTTGCAGTCGGTTTTAGTTTCTAGCTTTTAAACGGACATGTAAAAAGGCTAACTTCCATTATTACAATTTATTAGCTCTTTATTTTTAGAACTACATTTCAATGCTACATATAACAATGCTACAAAACTACATTAGAGTTTCAATGCAAAAATAAAACTGGAAAAAAATATTTAAGAGCTCATTCAACAGATGTTCCAAACCCACAGGCTCTGTGCAAAGTCAGTGGCTTACTAAGTTTACTTACTAATATTCTTTTAGAGCTGTTCATACCAAAAAAAATAAATCTGAGAAAACATGTTATTCATTAACCAACCAACCACAGCCCCCGCATGACATTACTGTGAAACTAGTTAAGAGCAGGAAAACTAGCAATATGTTCTAAAGAACTAGTATTGCTTTCGACAACCTTGGACATTTAACACTCTCCTGATAATCTGATCGAAGAATTGTGTTTAGTTACTACGAGCAAGCGAGTTTCGGTGCTTAACTTGTTAGCTGTGCTAATTCAGGTGCTGTTTTACCGGTTAGCACAACATCAGGCTAGTCCGGTGTCGAGCCGTTCCAAGTCCAGACTAGAGCCCTTTCATAGCACTAAATAAACCGTGACAACGCATTGAATATGGCGAAAGTACAGAGTTACACGAAGGATAGCGCAGCTGAATGAACTGTATCGTAAACCAGCGAGCAAATAAGCGAGTGTTTACACAGTCACTCGCTGAGCTAGTCTCGCTAGCCGCTACCTCTCCGTACTTTTTCTGCCTATATCCAAACAACCACCGGAGTTTGCTGTATATTCGAACAAACCGTCTAACTCTATCTCGTTCCGTCAAAACTAAATAATATCAGAGATGAATAACGCGTAAACAGACTAGAAAACTTTTGGAAATAAGTTTGGATTTTGAAGAGAAGATCTAACCTCCACTGGCAGCCATTCTCCCCAATCTGTCGCACGGCGACTGTGGGAAAACGTCACTAATGGAATGGAGCCCCGGAAACAGGCAGCAGCCAATCAGCGTCGCCGAACGCTCGTGACAGCCAATAGGCTTCCGAGGCTGTCTGTTTTTGCAAAATAGTTCAAAGCAATATCAAGGGAGTTTATATTCCAGCAGGAACGTCCGTGCTTGTGTTTGTGATATGAATAACTGATATATATGAATATAAACCAGGATTTTGGGAGTTAAATGTATACAGTTAATTATTAACAGCTAGAACGTAAACAAATATTCAGGATTAGAGGGACTAAATATACAAGTTTTAGAATGGCTGAATGAAAATTATTATTCTGATCTCTGCATACTGGTTTGGACGTGTGCCCTTCATATATATGGTGGTTACAGCACTGAATAATAACAGGTGACAAATCTATTTGATCTTATCTTTCTTCACATTTTATGTATCTTCTGTTCTAGCTGAAATTCTACAGACATCAAGTGCTACCGCTTCCACAGCTTCAAGCTTAAAGGTAAAAACCAGCTTGGTAAGAAGAGGCAATGCAGTTCCCACTCTTTCTTTTCTTTTCAGTTCACTTAAGATTTATTTGTATGGTACTTTTAACAATAGTAATTGTTGTAAAGCAGCTTTACATAATTCTCCCACTCTTTCTTTTCTTTTCAGTTCACTTAAGATTTATTTGTATAGTACTTTTAACAATAGTAATTGTTGTAAAGCAGCTTTACATAATTTCAGGCTCAGACCCCCAGTGAGCAAACACAATGCCACAATGACCAGGAAAAACTCCCTGAAAGTAAAGAAATGCTAGGAGTAATCAGTGGATTTTGGGAACCTTGTTCCAGATCAGCCAGGGATAATGAGGCAGTAGGTTAAAACAAACTGTAATATTTTTCTCCAGTTACTTTGATTTCTGTAGCTGCCATGCCAGAGTGTAGCTTCAGACAAGTGTGGATAGGTTAATATTTAAATGATTTAATATAAAATAAAATAATAACAGTGGTATGCTGATGTTGGTTAATGGTCACATGGAGGTGAACAAATAAAATATACATTTTTAGTAAGTGTTTATTTATTTTTTATTTTAAAATTATTGATTTTATATGATTTAATTATTTATTGGCTTTGCATCAACTCTTGCAAACCCCAAATTGGGAAACCCTAGTGTAGCCCAATACCTAATTTTACTCACCTATTCATCCCTCAGTTATCCATTCTTTCATTAATGTTTTTTAAAGCAAAACTAAATAAATTAATCTAAATTCACTGAAAATAATCTTCTTTTTTCTTACTTTGCAGTGAAATGTTGTACTGGTTGTGTGAGATTCACTTACAAATCTACACCCCAAAGACTTGGTAAATAATAACTACATAAAGTCTTGATGAAACTGAAGTAACAACAGAGCTTTTATTCCATATTGTGATGTACATCCCAATGAAACTGATTATCGAAAAAGAAAAAAAGGTTCTGTCCATTGTGATTAATTGGATATAAGCAGGTCTGAATGTAAGCGTGCAGCCAATTGTAAGAACGTCAATGGTTTTAACAGAAAATCGAGTTATGACATTCTGATAAAAAATTGTGAGGTCAGAAAAATGCTTTAAAAAGATGATCATATGCATGAAAGCATTATTTGCAAAAATATGAATAACATGCATTTAGAAAATAGAGGGGGCATATTTTTATTTCTAGTCAACTTTATTTCTAAATCTCTCTCGCTAGATAAACTGCCATGCCGTTGTCAATCAGTTCAAGGAAACATTAGGATTGTTTCAAGATTCATCTTCAATTATTCAGATCTCTGTAATTTACAGGCATGCTGTCTCACACATCGCAATTTTTTCAAGGTAATTTATTTCCTAAAATCGATAGTGGTTCCTGCTCCATTAGTACAGGCAGCCTGAATATGAATAATTTATTCAAAATAATACACATTATTTATATTTGTTTCACATACTGATATAAAAACAATGGACATGGAATATATGAGATGTACTAATTCCATTTAAGTCATCCAATACAACACTCCTGTTCTCATGCTTCCTGATTCTTGGCTCTGTGTGCCCTTATCTCAGGACAGAGGATAAAGGCACATGTTTTGGCCCAGCTTGTGTTCTTTTCTTCCTGTCAGTCGAGCACAGACTAGAGATCTATTTTGACACTGTCTAACACTGCACAAAAAGGTGGTCCAATAACTGCAATCCAGACAATCAATTTCATATTTTTCCAATTCCTTTCCTCCTCAACAACTAGAAAGGCCATGAAATTGCAGTCAAATGAAAGGCTTTCTGTTGCCTTGGCTGTATAATATCTTTTTGCTTATGTTTACATTCCTATAGCCTGCTACCTTTATATATAGTGCCAGATTTCCTGATATCAGCGCACCATATCATCATATATCCCTGGGACTGCACACTTTGTACTAACATCAGAGCAAAGCGGATTTACTCATTCGAAATGCGAACAGGTCAAACTTGAAAAGCTGTATTCCTTGCAAAATTCAGAATATGCTCAGGGCTGCGGAAAGCTACAATCACGCTATAAGGTTTTAACCTTGTAGTATTCCATCAGGAAAGTCTCTCCTAGCAGTCCTACTTGATAAGCTGCTGTACATTTTATCTGGAATTGCTTGAGGCATTTATGGCATTTCCATTTCAGCTTTTGACAGTAAAGATATTTGCTTTGTTAGCCAGTCACATTTTTCAAGATATGCATTCACACCTGCCAGGAACAGAACACCAGTAACAACAAATATGGCCTTGCTTGCTTTGCAATGCATCTCAAAGCAATTTATAGCATCATTAAGATTAGGGTATGATGTCATCAGGACCGGGACTAGGAGCACAGAGGTCTTGTATCACCCTGAAGGGATTTATTTTGCAATAATGATGGCTGACTGTACATTATCCTGCATCCATTATCCATGGATGCTCATCAAATAAACTACATGGACAAAATATTGATTTGAATTGAAAGTATTATATAATTCCAATCCAGTCGCATCGAGTTCAACAGAAGGCTGCTTACTTTGAAAGTAAACAACAAGCCTTTTAAGTGTTTTGGTAATCTTTGAAGATTTTTTTTTTAAACCAGTTTGATTTCAGATTCTGAAAGTTCTGTTTATATGAACCCTAAACCTTGCAATCACCATGAGTATAATTGTCATTTTTGGCTTATGAAAAATACAGGCCTGTTGTGACATTTTTGCAAAAAAAAATAATATTACATTGCTCCTTGCACTTTTCCCAGCAGTTTCAAAGTCAGTTGTCCAGTGAGTGGTGTTGTTAAGATGCGTGTTCAATTTTCTTTGAAACAGATAAATGTGACTGTGCCAACATTTTATTGCTGGTTCACGCACATATCGCGACAAGTCGGAAATCAAATGCCGATGCGTGGCGCTAAAAGGTTAATGCTTTATCGCTTTGAAAATAACATACTACCTACTCTAAATCTAACCAATAGTGTTAAAGAAAAAATATATATATACTGTATATATATAAAAAGCTTTTGCTGAAGCTTTGCTTTTACCTTGTTTGTACACGGCTTTGAGCTCTTTTGTCAAACTGTGTTTTACAGGGCTCTTCCCGAGCGCTTTGCATCACAAGTGCAATGCTGTACCAGGTGAGCTACAGAGCAAGTTTACTATATCAGAAAAGTCAAATATATGAATCTGGATATGTGATTCAAACAACAAAATGTATTGGCCTGTACTCATAATTTGTGTGAAAATTGCGTGTTAATTTCAGCTGAAAACTGCAGAAAATTGGTTGTACAGTATAGATACATTTTTGGAGTTTTGCAAAAATGTTGGTAGAGGCACGTTTTTCCAATTAACCATAGTTGATTGTGGTATATGGAAGCTTAAATGTACTTGCTTAACGCAAAAACTAATGAGGCTTGTTCTCACGTGTCAAGCGAGTATGGTTACGCTTTCCTTTACCATATTTGACTGCAAAAGTTTTACAGTAATATTAATACTGAAGTCCTCTGAAGTGATTTTAAGTAACTGAGATGCAGGATTATGTCGCTTGTGTTTGCATGAAATGAGAGAGTGAATCCACACCATAATACAATATATAAATAACATAAAATACTAAATCACCAAGAAATCAGAAATGTGCAGAAATTACAGTTAAAAAAACTTATTTTCTGTTTGACTAAACCACTTCATATGTGTGCATGTAAGGTGGAGGAAATGTGCACTGAGAGCAATTGCACTAGGTAATAAATTGACCCACCAAACACCTCTCAGGCTGTGAGACGATCTCACTTCTTTCAACATCTGATGAAAGAGAGAAAGAGAGGGAAAGCGACAGAGAGAAAAAGAGAGAGAGGTGTACAGGGAGCACAGATGCCGGAGCAGCAGCACTGAATTGCAGAGGAGACGCTGTAGGGGAATGAAATGAAAAGCAAGAGGGAGAGAAAGCAGGGGGTGTAATTGTAGTTTAAATGTGTGTTTTAGTCAGAGATGGAGGTAATAGGTTGTTATATGCCTCTGGGGACCCGTGTTAGAGCATCTGCAGATGCTCAGAGAAACCGTTCAGTCTCCCGCGTCTTCCCTCACCACCCGTGATGAGGCAAATACGAACGCGATGGGAGGCAGCTGTAAATACCTGCCCGAGCTTCCCGCCTCATGTTTAAAAAGTGCCTCTCTACCCCCCATATGTGGAATGAATATGCGAGCATCTGCGAGTAGCATGTCCATCACTTATGGCTCCATCTCACAGAGAGAACAATCTTCCTCCCTGGAACGGAAATGGAGCTTTGTGTGTCTTAACAATAGTTATCATACATGCCGGAGAGCCACTTATTCAAATGACTGAACAATTATTTCTCAATTTGTTTGCAGAGGAATGCTGAATGTTGAGAGGATCGAGTGCTAAGCTAATGTGTTACAGAGGGTTTCCACAATGACAGAGGAACTTGTCGATTAAGCCGCCAGGCCTTCTTAAATGATCTGCCATGTCTATAATGGAATGCTTTTATTATGTATATATGTATATAATGCATGACC